GGGCGTGACCATGTACGCAGTCGTAGGCTGCGTAGCTCTGCATGCTCTCATGCTCGAAACGAGGCCGTCATGGATTTCTTCAAAGGCGCAGTAGCGCTTCTGGCGTTGGACGGTGGAGAGACTCCTGCAAAATCGATCGAGATTCGGACAAGACTGTCCTACTACTGCTCTACCAGGTCTCACCACGATGCAGCCTGAAATGATGCTATGCAGCTGCTATCAGCGCAACTGCAAGGCTCTCTAGTATTGTTCAATCGATGAGATCACCCTCCGAACTCCTAGCCCCTCGCCACCAATAGCCGGTATTCGATCGAAGTGGCACCCACGTCATGGCTGGCTCAGAGGCTGCACCTTGGCTTCAGTTCAATTCATCGTTCTATTTTAGATTTCTGAAATCGGTTGCTTTTGCCGGAAGCTTCTTCTGGGCGAATGATGATCGGTAGTCGTCGCAGCAGTGGTCGCGAGAGGGTCTCTCTCATCCTTCTGGTGCTGCAGTCTTTAGGACTAACGGCATACGAGACGAGTCTCGAAACAAAATCGGAGGCATTTCAGCATTAACCCAGTGCCCACTGAACAGCAGACAGAGACCATGCGTCATGCATTAGAAATCAGCCATCCGTATTCCAATTCGTCGCAGATCAACGCTGGCTTGTCTTGAAGCTTGCCTGCTGTTCAGACCGGCACCAGCAGTTAGTACAGGTCACCACGAATGCGGCGTTGCGCTACGGCCGAGAAATCGTGCTTCTGCGATTATTCGATAGGCTTCTATTATACGAGTTCCAGCCTTTTCGGCTCCTCGCCGTATCCCGATTGACCTTTTAAAGTTCTCCTCGTCTCCGTTCGGTTCAGCGAATCGAGTTCTCATTTCAAGGAGGCTAAGATAAGGGGGTTGAGGGGTGGATCCGATCTACTCATCCTCGTGGCGAGCACCATTCAGATGCAACCATGGAACCGGCTTAGCGAGAGCTTAGTGACTTCACTGAAACTGGGAGAGACTTTCGCAACTTCTCTCAACTCCCACCAAATCCGGAAAAAGTCTTGTCGCGGAGATTTCGGGTTTCGGAAATAGCTCACCATTTTGGGATTAGGTTAGATCTTACCTAGTACTCAGTAAGTCTCACTGGCGCTAAGACGAGGGATGCGCAATTCGTTCACAATCACAAGGCTAGACACTAGAAGGGTCCACGTTCAGCCAATTGTCATTTATGCTGATTGCCGGCTGAGATCTAAGATTCGCTGACTGCGCAGCACATTCCACTACAGAGGTCGCAGATCGCCAGAACTGTGCATTCGGAGCTTCGGTACGTACGTGGTTCCTGCTACTTCTCACACGCTTCGCCCATTCAAGCCCACTGTTCCAGGTCCGCTGGCCTGCTTCCAACCCTTACAGAGAAGGTCGGTTGTGCCCCAGCGATGCCCCATCGCCCTAGGAGCGGCCCCCTTCCCCCCCCTTCAATTGCCACTTTTTGTTCTTCGGTCAGCTCCCAACCTGTCGGAGACAAAGTTGCCAAGAGGCTCTCAAAAGCCAATTCAAGCCCGTGAATGTTTTTTTTCTGGCGAGGCCATGACATACTGAGGTTTTCTTTTATTCCCGCTTAGAGGGCCGTATCCGCCGCTCAATCGGGGTTGCCATGTGGCCCGGATAGACTAAGATCCACCGATTGGCTAACCTCTACCTGTGGGAGGGACAATGCTCTCTGGATGCTTTTATTCCGACAATGCTGCTTTCAGTCAGTGCTGCAAGGACAAATGACACCCTGCCAGATCTGCTTTCATCTGGTCTGATACGATGCAGCGGTGTTTAGCAGTGTCGGGCACCTGACGAGGGAGAGGGGCGACGCAGTCCGTCGCACCAGCCATTCCATCACAAACCCCGGCTAGGATGTCTAATCTTTAGTCTGCCTAGTCACCTCCCCCCTCCCTCCCGGAGAGCCTTGGAGTATGCTTGTAGGTTTGTAGGTTGGGAAGAGAGAGAGGGGGGGGGGGAGGCGGAGGTCGGCAAAGCACACATAGCGCAGCGCCGGAACAACCCCGTCGTAATAGCGTGCTGACTACTTACTACTGACCTACTATACAGGGATTTTAGTGACCATTGGCCCTGTTAGAGGCTAGAAAAGAAGACCATTGGGAATGACCAGTAATGTTGGGAAGAATTTCACAGAGGACAGCAGGCGGGGGGAATCCTCTTCCCCCCTCTTAGTCTTAAATTATTCCCTCGTTTTGCTATGTACACGATCTACTAAGGTTCCCCCGGAGGGGGCTTTACCTTTACAGTTTACGTGCCTAAACCTGCGCGCGAATCTGACGGCCTTCCGGAATGGGGCTTCACAGCCCGAGCCAAAATGGGTCCATTTCCTAACCATAATTCTCAACAACGATTACTAACTTATCTTAACCGCCTGTCTTGTTTTTGTTTAAAATCTGGTGGCTCCTTCTTGTCCCGCTGGAAACATATATATAGCTAGTTTAGTGCGACCCACGCATTCGGAACAGCTATAGTCGCATCTTGAGAGAACTGCTTCTCTCCAACTTCTCTGCTTCTCTGTCTTCCTCTGGGGCCTATCGCACCCCCATTCACATATATTCTTGTCCCATATGACTGTCGCTTCTTTGATCACTGAGACTATCAAGCTGGCTACGAGTCGGTTAGCAGAATGAGCCCTGCCCCGGAACCTCCGCAGACGAAGAAACGCGAATCGCGTGCTGGAGCACGGAAAGTGACGTCGCTCTCTGCCGAGCAACTAGAAAGGAAGCGTGCCAATGACCGTGAGGCTCAAAGAACCATTCGTCAGCGGACAAAGGAGCACATCGAGCGTCTAGAGCATCAGGTGGCTGAGCTGAAAATCAAAGGAGACCGGTTCGACGAGATAGTCCGACGAAATACCGCAATGGAGATGGAGATTCGTTCTCTAAGACACCAATTAGCCTTGGCCACAGGCAGGCAGGGTCATTCAAGCCTGGGTGAGTGACGAAGTGTATCCCTCCCTATAGGCTATCATGCCCCAATTGCTGATCATCATGTTTATTGCTTGTCAGATGGCTCATACAGCACTCCCTCCGGGTCCATGCTACCTTCACCTCATCTCCCGGACTCCTTGAGCTTGAATCCAGCTTCCAGGGCGGCCTCGGTGCTGTCCACATCAAGTCGAACATCCATTGCTCCCGAGTGGCAACCATACGGTTCAGCTCGGACATCTTCCGTAGGGGAACCTTCGGACACAAGCTATGGGGCTAGGCTCGAGCCATATGTCTATGAAAGTCACATTCAAGCGCCCAACCCGCTACCGGTCGCTTCAGCCCATATTAGTTACAATTCTTCCCTCTGTGCACAACCGGCCCAGCCTCCTGATTCGGGTTACCCGCCTTACCCGCAGGGCTACCACCCCGAGGCTATCCGTGGTCTCGGGCAAGAGAGCTCACACCACACCCAACCCCAAATACCCTGTGTTGCAGGTCAACGATCGATGTCGGTGCCAACTTGTTCTTCAGAAAGAGAATCATCGGGGTATCCTGTTGTCCAGGCACCACAGCAATATCACGAGCATACCATCCCGTCACATTCGACACAACCGAGGAGCGAGTATAGCTATGACTGGAGCCATCATCAATCGTGACTTTTGAAGAATCAGAAGAGGCTCGCAGAGGCTACACCATCCAGCATAATATGATCCGTGGCAAGCGATGAAACCCACTCGTCTCCCTTGTCCAGCGGGAAAGGGTGCGGATAATGCCCAATGATTTGGATTAAAAGATTGGTCCGAGTTTAGATTTGACTGCTCGGTCTCCGGGATCTTGCAGCAGCCGTGAGATTATCCAGACCACCCCTCCCCGCAACCCTGCCTTCGGACTAAAGCGCCCGGGAGGTCGGCTTGTTAGGCAGGCCTAACAAAGTTCCGGCACAGCATCCCTGACTTTTCCGACGGAGATACGCCACGAGCTTGGCACATCTTTCACCGGCATGATCGGGACGATGTGCACGATTGCGCGTCCAGAAAAAGGATGTATAACCAAGTCCGCAGAGTCAGAGATAAGCGAAAGTTAACATTATGCAAGGCTGCAAGATTCGTTTGTTCGAGAAGCGAGGGTGAAATCAAAACCCACTTGCTATTACCAAATTTCCGGAGTGTGAATGGCGCGAATGGAGCAAACCACGGTACTGGGCCGGAGCCCGGCTCGGGGAGGAGCCGGTTACAAAACCCACGTACCCGGGTGCAGGTGCACCATCCGAGTCATTATCATCAACACCTTGAGGCTCTGCACACAAGCCACGAGCTACCCAGGAATAGACAACAAGATTTGTGCTTGATGCAAAGCATCACCTGAAGTGCCGGGGCTGACGGGACTCCAAAGTGCTTGATCGAAATTTGAACCATGCCGAAATCCAAAATCTCTTCCCGTGGGATTCAATTCCATTATTATCTCCAGGACCTTTCACCTTTTGTGCTACATTATTGGATAAAGACTTCACGGCTGACTATCGGCTCCAGCCGATGGCCCCGTCCCACGATCCTCCCACGATGATCAATTTCCCTTTTGTATGCATTCATGTAATCCGCTTCCGATCGGATTAGACGAGCATCATGGAAGCCTGTTCTGGCATTTTCTATCGCTTACTAGACTAGAGGATTACCGGGGGCCGTCCTTCACAATTGCCCACTTGTCAAAATACTCATACATGCATCCGCAATTACGGTAGTAGATCGGTTCTGATTTCCGATGGGAGGGGAAGGTTCCTTTCCTATTTTCCCAGGCTAAGACTCGAAGAAGAATCGACCCCGAGACTTGGAGTTTGAAGAGCTCCAAAAAAGACGGGGCCCGCTTTCCCAGCCCGCAACTAGGAACAGACAACACTGAACAGAGAGAGGAAACCCCCCCAAAAAAAGAAAAAAAAGAAAAAAGAAAAAAAAAAGACGAGCAGAAGGCCCTTTTACGCGGAAGTGGAGCTTAATCCAATCACGCCATTTCGATCTAGTGAGTCTAGGACTCTAGAGCCAAGTTTGGTACGTAGTAGTTCGAATATATTCATTACCGGTTAGCACTATTGACTACGGCCAATGCTGATTGTCAAGCACCACATACAACCTGAGGACTTTTAGCGAGTGTACTGCTTCTGCAACAGCTTGGCGATGGTCTGCAGCTGGATGTTGCTCGTGCCCTCGTAGATCGCCCCGATCTTGCTGTCCCGGAACATTTTCTCGGCGATGCCTTCGCGTACAAAGCCCATTCCGCCCATCCACTCGACCGCGGAGCTGGACACGCGCCCGGCGACCTGCGAGGCGTACAGCTTGGCCATGGCGGCGTCGTGGACGAAATCCTGGCCGGCCTCCTTCTTCCGAGCCGCGTTGTAGACCAGCGCGCGGGCGGCGGCAATCTCGGTATACGCCTGGGCCAGCTGGTGCTGCATGCCTTGGAAATTGCCGATCAATTGGCCGAATTGTCGGCGGTCGTTCCAGACGTACCTGTATTGGACATGGTCAGCGAATTGATCCCTGCAGAGCGCTTGGTGCCGGAAGTAAAATAAAAGATACGGTGGAGAATTTAAGCGATGGGAAGATAATTTTGATGGGGATTGGGGGGGGGGGGGGGGATCCTCTTACTGAGCAGCATTTTCCCAAGCTCCCAGCGCTAGGCCGGTCATTTGAGCCGCAATACCAATGCGACCCTCATTCAGCACGCTAATTGCGTACTTGTATCCCTGACCCTCCTCGCCCAAGAGGTTACTCTTCGGAATGACGACATCATCAAAGTTGAGCACACAGGTACTACTGGCGCGGATGCCGAGTTTCTTCTCCTTCTTGGCGATCGAAAAGCCGGGAGTATCTTTCTCGACGATGAACGCGGTGATGCCCTTGTACCCTTGGCTGGGGTCGAGATTGGCGAAGACGATGAAAATGCCGGACTCCATGGCGTTGGTGATCCACATCTTGGAGCCATTGAGCTTGTAACCCTCGGCGGTCTTCTCGGCCTTGGTCTGCAGGGCGAAGGCATCGGATCCGGAAGCCGGCTCCGAGAGGCAAAAGGAGCCCACGGTGCCGGTGGCCAGCCGGGGCAGCCAGGTGCGGCGGGCCTGGGCGTCGCCGTACTTCATGATAGCGGTGTTGACCAGGGTGTTGTGGACGTCGACCAGCACGCTGACGCTGGGGTCGACACGCGCCAGCTCCTCGATGGCCACGATCGCCGCCGTGAAGTTCATCCCCGCCCCGCCGTACTCCTCGGGGGTCTCGATGCTCATCAGCCCTTGCTCGAACAGCTGCTCCACCACTGCCGCGTCCATCGTCTCCGCCTCGTCCATCTCCCGCACCTTCGGGCTGATCTGCTCCTGCGCGAACTTGGACACGCTCTCCGCCATCAGGGACTCCGTCTCGGACAGGAAGGTGATCGGGGTCGGCGTCAGCCCGGAAAGGTCGACGTCCCGCCGGCGGGACGTGGTGGAGAATGCTTGGGTACTACTGATCGGACGGAATGTCCCGGTTAGTTTCTTGAGTTCCATGCCAGTGGTTGGACACCTCGCAAAAAACCTCATACCTAGGAAGAACTCGGGTCCGCAACGGCTGTCTTGTCGTGATAAGGCGGGCGGAAGCAGCGGTGCGGGACAAAGGCCGCAATACGCGGGAGAGACTCGTCATTGTGATTGTGGGAGTGTGGTATACTGGGTATATTTTAGCTGGCTAATAACGAAACAAAACTGAATCCAGCAGGAGATAAGAATGGCGGGGGGGGGGGGGGGGGGGGGTGTGTGTGGGGGGGGGGGGGGGGGGGGGGGGGGGGGGGGGGGTTCCTTTGAGGTGCGTGTCAAGGAGATAGCGAGGAGAATAGAAATGGGGAACGGGGAAAGGGAAGCCAGCGTTCTGGGGAAATGACCGGGGATCACGAGGCCGAGGTATTTCGAGCCTCGGCTAAACGCGGCGTTCCCATGGGTTGGTTTAATCCAACTGCAGATCATCCGTTCGACAAAGACATTCATTCTTCACCATTCCATTCCCCCCGCACGTTATGGGACAACATCATCTTGCATCTCGCAGCGTTACCACAGGAATGGAAACGCTATGCTCTATTGTCGCTATGAATATACTATACTAATCTATATATCAAAAAAAAAAATCAAATCAAATCAAATCAAATCAAATCAAATCAAATCGAAAACAAAAACTCCAAATCAAACAGAAAATGACTTTCAAAGTCGTCAACGCTAAACACCCAGTCACACGCAAAACACCTTGGCGGGATCGAATTTGATGGACTGCGCAAAGTAGTACCCCCTCTGGTTCGCCACGATCCGCTTCCCGGACCGATCGTCCGTGAAGTCGCAGTTGTAATGTGTATGCCCGAACGCCCACAGGCGCACCTGCGGTCGCTCCCAGCACGGCTCTCCGATGAGGTCCGTCGCGAACGCCGACGTGATCGGACTGTCGGCGTAGCGCGGGTCCACGGCCGCCACCGCGACGGTCGGGCTGTGATGGCTGAAGATGACGATGCGATGATGCGGATCGTCTCGGGCGATGTCGGTGACCTGGTCGTTAAGCCAGGCACGCTCGGCCTCGTGGGCCGCACGGTGCTGCTCGACCGTCCAGTCCTGGATGTAGTGAAAGTCGTTCAGGGCGTGGCTGACGGTCTCCTCCTGAGCCTCACTCACGCGCGAGTGGAATGTACATCCCAGGACTGTCACCTGGGGCGTGAGGCGGTACCGCGTGCGATCGAGGAGGACGAACTCCCCCAACTGCGACGGCGTCGTCGCCGCCCTTTGGCGCCGGTCCTGGATCTCCTCGGAGAATCGCTGCAGGCGTTCGCGTGTGGCCGGCCAGCTGGCATCGAAGGGCTCGTGGTTGCCCAGGACGAGGAAGACGATCTTGAAGCGGTGAAGCTGGGCTTCGAGGAATTGCAGGTAGCCATCATCTTTGACGTTGCCGATGTCACCCAGCAGGGCTAGGTAGGGCGCGGTCGGGGTGATTCCGAAGAGGTCGTATGCTCGCGGGTTCTCGAGGTGTAGGTCGGAAAGAATCTGGAACTGTGCCATGCTTGCGGAGGAGAAGGAAGCGCTGGCTCGGGGGCGATTCGATGTCCAGATCGCTTGTAGGATGGGCTGGCTAGTAGTAGCTCAACGACTTACTGGAATACGGTCGGAGGCCAGTGCATAAGCGCCGGGGGGATACTAAAAAAAGAAAAAAGGTCCTTGTAGCCGCTGGTCGGTCTCAATTACCACGGATAGTGATTTTAGGCGATTCAAAGTCTCGATTGGAAGGGCTTGCACAATTCGCCTCTTGGGACGCTCTTCTATTGGAATCGTTGGGGTGGTGGTGAAAAGTGGACGTACTGTACACATCAGGTACGTTGGGCCTGTGTAGGTACTGGTAGTAGGTCAGTTGTTGCCCTTTCCCAACCACTCACAGCTCGCCTTATCAATCGGTGGCGGTGTAGGAGATGATTGACGTGTGGCGCAGCAGGCGCTAGGAGGCGTCAGGGTGCTTATGTCATTCCAGGGTCTGACGTTCATTCATCCATCCATTCATTCCCTGATGGATCCATCCCACATTGGCACCCCTACCCCATGACGGACTTGGCCAGCCATGAGGGACAGGGGCGCTGTGTCTAGCTATTTATGGCCTCCCTCCCAGGTGCCAGCAGGTTTCTATCAATTCTTCCGTTCTCTGCCTACTTGAGAATTACCCCTTTGATTCAATCCTCATCACCTATTTCACCTTCATCGCGACTGTGTCTGGTCCATTATCGGCTTCCCTCCCCCACATTACCGACACCTTGTCCCCACCTGACGTCGACAGCCCTCGCGCTTTTTCTTTAACCTTAACCCCTCGTCACAACCGGTCCAGAGTCAACGGAGTTGCAGCCATGGCTTCGACCGTGCATGACCCAAGACTTCTATACAGTATAGACAACATTCGAGCCTTTCACATCCAGAATGGCGAGGAGTCAGAGCTCACTCCGTCGGGGCCGCAAACACTTTCCCTGTTGATGGTTCCGACCAAGACCGCTATGCCCGGAAGCTCGTTCCCCGTGTCCTCCCAGGATGCACTCACAGAGGAAGACTTCTATCTTCATCTAAATTTGCCACCGGAGCTGGATTTGGCTCTCCCCGCTACCACCCAGATTTTCCACCAGCCGCCGAATAGCTACCTAATCCCTCGTTGGGATCTGGGTCCTGATGCGGGAGCCTTTATTCGCATCCAGTTTCCCTCGATCGGACATGGGCCTGACAAGGTGACACAGGAGGATATTGACACCTTTGAGACAATCCTCGCTCAATGCACTGCATTCCTCGACCGCGCACCTCCAGCTGGGGACCATGCTCCATACAACCCCTCGACGTATGCGCCCGGTGAGGGATATGTCTCTTCTGCCGCTTCTCCCGGGGGTGATGCGCATGGTAGGATTGTTCTGGTCGATGAGGAGGATGGCAGTGTGGTGGGTGAGATGGAGGGCTATGACGTTGTGGAAAGGCCCGACGTCAAACCCGGCTCGAAGAGTAGGTGATTCTATACTGCACGGCCTTCCGATATTCGTGGTCGCAACATATTCCTAACCTCACTAGGGCCCGTGGAGATTGAGCTTCCTTCCGAGGGCGAAGGCAATAAAGTCAATGTCAGCAACGTGTCCGAGGAGTATCTGCGTATGGCACGTCACCCAGCTTATCAGAAGTCGACCATCGTCCAGACCTCTGCGAAAGCTTCGCGTTTGATTGTCACTGGGTCTACATACCTGGCCAATGCGCTTACGAGTGGTGCCGACACCTTCACAAGGAAGACAAGGCCAAACCCGAAGCCGATGACCTTTTCGGAGACCACCCACTCGCGCATCCGCAAGGTTGGCACCTTTTCTGAGGGCGCCGCCGATCTCTCGGCCAAAACTGTCGGTCAGGTTGGGAGATATGCCCAAAATATTGGGGCATCGCTGGCCCGCCGGAACAACACGGAGCGACAGAGGGGTATCGATAAGTATGGCAGTGAGTATAAGCCCGGGATTCTGAATAAATCCTTGATCGCGTTCTCGACTCTGGCGGACGGCATTGAGCAGAGTGCTCGGCACGTCTTGACCTCTAGCTCGAACGCTGCCACCACTATGATTGGACACCGCTACGGGGATCAGGCCGGGGCTGTGGCATCCAATTTGACCGGCGGTGTTAAGAACGTCGGGCTGGTTTACATCGATGCCTCGGGTGTCAGCCGCAAGGCTTTCCTCAAGTCTGTCGCCAAGGGCATGGTTGTTGGGCGGATGCGTGACGGCAAGCAGGTGGTTGTTGGTACCGGTGATGGCGGGGAACTCCCTGCTCAAGCGAGTGGCAGTCAGGCACAGGCCTCCTACGGAGGGAGAGCACCGTCGCCTACTCCGACCCCGCCACCCGCGTACAGTGCCGCGGGGAGCGCATCCTATGGTCGGGCTTCAAATACCGGGGCGAGGAGGTGATGCGGTCGTCTGCTCGGTCCTCTGCTTATTCATGTTCTAATGCGGTGATGATCTTATGAGGTTCGATTTTCGGATGCCTTGGGGGCAAACTCTAGTGCGGCTTTTATGGTCACGCTGTTGGTCTAGTTGCGGTTCTATCATTTCTAATGTGGCTTGGATGTCGCGGTCTTCTTTCATTCTCTCGTTGTAGTATCTATCGGCTATTGGCCATGCGTACTGTGCTCGGTCATCTACCAAGCCGGGCAAGCGGCACACTCTTCCGCTATCGCAGCGGATATGCCACCGCTCGTCCTCATGCCAGTGAGGTGACGTCCGTTTCTTTGGTATCTCGTGGTAGACTGGTATTGCTCCGAGTAAACCTCTGTATGGTTGCGATATCGGGGCAAGGGTGAAGAGGGCGGGGGAAGGGGGGGCTGCTTCGACTTTCACATGCTCAATACACCCAGGTGCATGTGATGATGACTGGCTCGGCCGGGTTACTACCTTTGCTGCGGTACCTTGGGGCGTACCAGGGAGGTCAGAATTTGGATGGGAGGGGCACGGTGTGGTGCTTTGTCCTTTGGGTTTTGTTCTTTTCCAAACGACATCTGTTATGTGGGATTCTTGGTGCAGTGGGGGGGGGGGGCTGCCACTCTTGCTGTGGCTGTGGGCGTGATGCTGGATGGTGTGGTGAGATTGTGTCAGTGTGGTCAGGTCGGGGCTCTGTGTATTGGTGGTGATGCGGGCTTGATTCATCCCAGTGCCTGTGCAGTTGTCGGTGTCTGTTTCATCCAACACAAAGTCCGCAGGTGCATGCCACATGGGCAGCCCACCGTAGATATATAGCGGACGACGAGTGCCGAAACCGGCGCCTAAGTTATCCAGACGTGTGAAGAGACAGCACAGCCAGGACACTTCAGTAGCCATGCAAGAGACACAGCAATATATAGCATACTCTACATTTACTACCACCAGCTATATCGCAGATGTACGCATATGAAGAATACCAGGTGATGCTTTGGTTACTCCGACAGTTTCTATTTAAGAACATGATTTCAACTGGTGCGCCATGAAATCATGGAATGACAATATGGCCGAGCGGTCTAAGGCGATAGACTAGAAATCTATTCTCTTCGGAGGCGTCGGTTCAAATCCGACTGTTGTCGTTTTTTTTGCGTCTCGGCCCATCATCCCCTAGACCAATGGATCCCCCATGTATGCTAGGCCTGATGCTAGCCCCGCACATTGCCGCCACAGTACATGAACAAAGCAGTGGTAGATACAGTCCAGCAGGCGGGGGTATTAATGGCCGCAAAACTGGTGCTCCTGCTGCTGGCAAACAGGACACGTCATACAGTAATGGGAAAGTAGCACTGACCGGAAGTCAACAGAATCAGTTGCTCACGATGATAGATGCAAGCCAACACACTATTGACAAGCCCTATCAGAACCGGAAAGTCTAGAGCGACTTTTTATCACTAAGTTGCTAGGTTCATAGTAAACTACGGAGTATCCATACTATGCTCCGTAGATGGATAAGGTGGGCACTGTTGACTTATTCAATCCGCTACATGCGCTACACCATTGACAAACAAAGGAGCTGCACTATCTCCAAGTCAAAACCACACCGACATTATTCAATTGCTCGATTAGACCTGCAAAAGATAGGAGGACAAACGCTCGTACTATGCCAATGCTCAGGTTACTCAGCGGTCATATACCCAAGTGGCTGAAGTACTACTCATCAAAGGCAGTATGGCCGAGTGGTTAAGGCGATAGACTTGAATCAGTATTGAAATCTATTCTCTTCGGAGGCGTCGGTTCAAATCCGGCTGCTGTCGTTCCTTTTTTTGCTGGTCATCACCGCACTAGCGCCTCTGTTTCGGGTCGGTCCCATTGTCTGGTCACCGGGCCGTCAGTCCTGCCTTCCTGCCATGTCCCTGTCTGTGCAGAAGACCATTAAACATCTGCTCTTTCAGCTTTGCGTTGATAGTGCATCTATTCACATACTCACACCTATTCTTCTCCTTCTTCTCCTTCTTCTCCCTCTTTTTCTTCTTCTTCTTTCCCTCCCCTTTTTTTTCGCATAACATTGATCGCAAGTGTTCTTATGACAAGCTGCAGATATATTCCGGCAGTCAGCAAGAACATCTCTGAGTAAGGTTCATTGACTTTACAGTGACGCAGTGACGAGATACCACTCCCATCTGTTGATTCCTCTGAATTGCCTTTCTGCCCTAGCATACAATATCCCTAGCTCTGGTATGATACATTAAATAAGACAGTATGGCCGAGCGGTCTAAGGCGATAGACTAGAAATCTATTCTCTTCGGAGGCGTCGGTTCAAATCCGACTGCTGTCGTTTTTTGTTTTGCCTTTCTGCATCCTGCAAAGGCGGAACAATATCCATAACAGCACCCATCAGCGTAAAGGCAGCCTTCACTGTGCCCTAACCAATGCAGTCGATGGCATGCGCCTCACATGTCATCGCCAACCAATGTTTAGGCGCATAAAGTCCCAAGGCTGAAATCGCAGGTGAGCTGAATCCATTCCTGCCATTTTATGGCAAATCCTCCGAGCTGTTTACACCGTACTTCCTAGTAGGTAGTACCAAATCGTGGTAGAGTGTTCCAATTGACTATTTGTCCTTGTACGCGAAACAACTCTGGCGTTCAGCGGCAGTAATTTGCGAGGTTCGCTTTGTTCCCAGCCTGCTCCAATCAACAAGCAGTTCCTTAATTACGGCATGAGAGGCCGGCCCTTCGACAAGGTCCTGGATGGCTGCTTAGCCCATTGCTTTACACAAGTTGGGGGTCCCTGTCTCAAGGGAAGTGCTAGTTTTATGAGAAGAGTATGGTTATGGAAGAGGGTTGGCCCCCATGGTTATTGCTGTTGACTACCTGGATGCAAGCGCGCGCTACTAGAAGGAGTTGGGCCCGCAGGGGTCCGGTTTCCAGCCTTTCATGCACGGTAGGAGTGATGTTTGAGCCAAGTGACCTGACAATGTGTGCTCTCGAGAGAAAGGGTCGGAATTTACTAGTGTAGTTATGACTATGCAGGTGGTTTCTGGGCTTGATGGACAATTGAATTGGATGGAAGCATAAAGTTCTCCAGAGATGACGACGCTAGGCGTGGACGGAGAATATTCACAATGGAACATGTCGTATCTACAGAGCTGTTGCAGGGAAGGGTGAGAGGGATGATATGACACTGGTGATCGATCTCAAAGTGATCGATAACACAAGGGAGCAAGAGCGAAAGCAAAGCGAGACAAGGGTCTTTTGGTTACCGTGGTTTTGCACTCAAATAAGCTTCCGCATCTGAGCAATAATTGATGAACTGAACCTTTGGGACAGAGCCGAGGGAAGGGGTCAACCGTGGGTGCTATTGAAGTAGTGGGCAAAGGGACTGAAGTAACAAGGTTAAATACCAGGTACAGTACCATCGACACATCCATGATGGTATCTATCTGTTCTGTCTGACTGTCTACCTAATAACTTAGTCTAATCAACCCCAACCTCCTACTTCACTTTACTACTCGGTACCTAGTATGAGTACTAGGTAGCCTAGACTAAAGGTAGTGTACTCCGTACTCCGTAGTACTAACCCAGCGACTTAACGTGACAACCTGGTGACCAGCTCAATGGACTAAGGCAGGTACGGGCAACCGGTACCTGAGGTATCCAGCCTCTGGTGCCACCGTAATCTTCCGACCCAGCCAATGACGGCAGGGGCACTGGCGATTACTGCCCAGTTGGTTCATGAGATGACGATCGACTGTTATTCTATTTCCATCCGCCGCCCCCCTCGATGAAACAGTGGTTTGATTTGTCCCTCTCTTCCATCTCCCCCTTATGTTTGAGTAGTTAGTTTACCTGTACCTTAGGCTACCGCTCGCCCGCTGTCCACCGCGGTCTGGCTGGCCGGGCCATTCAGGTCTTCATTATCCCCCCCCCCCCCCCCTTCTATTTTTTTCGGGCGAGACGGTGTACAGTACTTACTGTACGGGGCACCTTGTCTACGGTAGATGACTAGGTACCGTGAGCTGTCAACCACACATTCCGTGCCTTGAACCTACACCGATCCTTCTTCAAAGTTGGCTGGCTGTCACTTGCTGTCTTCTTCAAAGCTTCTGATATTGATCAAATGATCTACTCCGTGGATCGGAGAGATAACCCAAAAGAGAAACAAAAGAAAGAACAACATCCAAGACCTCACTGGAGCCTTATTTCACCGACCAAGGTAAGGGACAGCACCACACACGTTCAGGCCCTGTTGTTGGAGCTCCAGTCCCTGTTCCATCGGCCTCATGATTATTCCATTGCATTGCGGTGTCCACCTCGATTTTGAGAATCACCCACTCCCATGCTGCCAGTTTCATGTGCCTTCTCTTGGCCCACGCTGTTCTCAGTAGCTTCCTGAGCTACTTGCCTCCCCATTTGTCCCGCTCGTATTCCAACATGATTGACTCTTTTGACCAGCAGCTTGCTCCCTCCTCGATGATGACTTCGGAGCTGAACTTTGTTCGATTCTCGACTACTGAGTGGGCTGTGCTCGTCATCGGCTGGACCGTTACCCTTGCTCGTATCAGAAAACATGAGCGCCTCGGTTGATGGCTCGCTAACAGCTAGTTGAGTGCGTACAGTACTCCGTAAGTATTCCGTATTCTGTAAGCTATGCTCGCATTTGAATGAGGCAGCGAGATCCGACCCGTTGACCCGCTTTTTGACCTTCCCCAGCCAACTCACTAGTCAATCAGCTTGAACTGGTCTGGGTAAGGCATAGAAGTTGTGCAAGCCTGGATGTAAGTAGGGTGGAAATGCTGAGAGATGCTAATGATGCGGATGGTGCGGATGGTGGATGATGGGCGTTAAGTGTCTATCCATTGTAATTGAGATTATAATATCGTCATATTATTGAATATTCTTGATGATGCTGATGCTGATGCTGATGCTGATGCCGTTGAAGGTTTAGTATTATACTTCAGTTGTAGCGTCCAGTTGTGATGCCACCACCGAACAATATTATCATCATTAGCTGCTTCCCTCTCTCCCTACCTCTCCCATCTCCTGCTCTCGGTTTCTGTTCCTTCCTTCTGTTCCCTTGTATGTTATTGTTTTGCCAACTCACTATCAGCCCCCCTTTCTCTCTCTCAAGGAGGGACTGATCTATTTTGACTGACTTTTTCTTCTCTCCGCTCGCCCCGTCCCCTTCTTCTGCCTCGCATTGCTCTTTCTCTTTCTTTTGTTCTAGCCATTGTCTATTCTCCGATCATCCAGAGAAAAGCCGAACAAGCACCTACGCACCATCAATCAAGTAAAGCGACTAGACTATTACCCGTTAACTAGTCTAGTAGTTTAGCTCAGTCTAATACCTACACACACCCCTCTTTCGATTACCGCCCGCCCGCCCTCTCTCTTGCTGTTGCTGCTAGCTGATTGCTGCTGCACTGTCCATTCATCTTCCCCAACTGCCTCATCCTTCCTATTCCTATTCCTCCTCCTCCTCCCCCCTCCCTCCCTCCCTCCTCCCACTCTCTTTCTTCCTCTCCTCCCCCACCCCTCTTCCTTTCTTCTCTCTCTTCCCCCCTCCGGTCGATCATGCCCTTCAACGCGGTCAACACTCTGTCTTGTCAATTCTACCAGAAGTGTTGAATCGGTGCTGCTGTCAACATCGGGATTACACTCCTCCCTTCTCCGTTGTCCAGGAAGTCCCACGTCGCAAATCGCGTTTCCCGAGGCTTGCATCCCCTTCCCGCCCGCGTTTGTCGCTCCGAAGCTCTCCCTTTGAGCCCGCCGACTCGCACTACCCCAACTGGGCAGTCGATTATACCTGCCAGACGAGCACAGGGTCAAAGGTCAATTCTGCGGTGCAGAATATTCACTTTTACCTTGCTGTTTCTGCGAGCGTCACTTGCACTTTTCGGCGAATCCACTGAAATTAAAAAGGAAAAAGAGAGAAAAAAAAGAAATCAAGAAATTATCCTCGACACGAACAGCAGGCGCCTCCCGTCCCTTTGACAACGCGGTTATTGATTGTCCTTTATTTTCTTTTTTTTTTCTCTCTTCCTTTTGCTTGTTTCTGGTTCTGTTGTCTGCCATCTCATATTGCCCTTTCCTGACAAAAGAAGTATCGTTGTTTGTTGTCGACCTGGTGTCTTGCCTATACCAACAACCATTGCGAAATTTCTCTATTGGGGTCGCTCTTCACCTTGTTAGTCAGTGACTTCTTCTCGCCCCTTCCCCTTCTCGGTGGTGGTTCCGATGGGCCCCCAAACCCAAGAAACTAACTTGAGACAGCAGCTTAGCTACCCGACCGGAAACTCATTCAGCCCCGGAAACTTCGGTCACATTCCCATACCACCTTAGATTAGGAAAAACTCACCACCTCTTCCCCTCCCAAAGGAAGAAGTCCACAAAAGGCCCCCTTCCCCTATAGGGCTTTAAAGCGCCTAATTGCAGGTCGCATCACTGCATTTTCTCCCAGAAAGAGCGCAGAGGTGACCTGGTTAGCTGGATTGGTCAGTCCAATTCTGCCAGAAGAGGCTGTCTCGGACCGTGAACACAGCAGGACTCAGCTCTGCTGTGCCTTTCAGAAACGAAGGTATGTGGATTACAAATCGCGCCCTTCGCGCCCCTCAGTGCACATCCATTCCAATCAGCCCACCATTCCCTCCTCTTCCACCACATGACAGTGCAGCTATGCTGCAGCAATTTCCTCCACCTCCGCGATCAAGGGTCTGCTGCACCTGCAGCAATTAAGCGCCTGCGCAGCGCCTATTATTAACTTCGGCGCTAAAGTTATCAGCAGCCAACTTCATCTTCGGTCCCGACAGCTTCTTCGGCTATGAACGACCCCGAACCGCAGTCCCTGCCGCAAACCACCCATGCATCCTCCGCCGTGACCCCTACCGCTCTTCCGTCCGACTTGGATGCCAATCGCAACCCCATCTATCCTGACCTGCTAGGCGCTCCCCCGATTCCACCGCCGAGGACTTCATCTACCCAACGAAGTCACCACGGCTCGAGCTCGAAAGCGACGGCCTCCTCCAGCGAAAGAGCATCAAGTTCGCGCCATGGAAAGAACAAAGCTGAGGATCGGAGCGCGATGCAGTCTGACAGGGAGGTCGAGGACTTGTCGGGGATGACAGGCGCCCGTGGTCAGCCTGTGTTATCATCCGCGGTCGATGCACACTCGGACGAATTGCCCGATCCGTTCCCCGACCAGGCAACATTAGCTAAGGAGTCCAGTACCGTGCTCAATCAATTGCTGGTGAGCGACCCGGCCGTGGATATCGAGCGCGAACAGGTACGGCAGGGAGGCGCGTCGATATCGCCATCGACCGAGGCTGCGCCTACGTCCGGGTTGAGTCTGGTGGGAAGCGATGGGGTGGATGATGGAGGTCGCGGTGGGCTTCGCAGTCGCCACGACTACAACGAGAACGCAGCAAAGCGCAAGGAGACGACATTTGGGCAGTACATTCTGGGTCAGACTCTGGGGGAGGGTGAGTTTGGAAAAGTCAAATTGGGCTGGAAGAGAGACGGGACCATCCAGGTTGCGATTAAGCTCATCCGGAGGGAATCTCTGGGGTCAAACCCCAGTCGGCTGCCCAAGATTTATCGCGAGATCTCAATTCTGCGCGACCTTGCCCACCCGAATATCGTCCGGCTCCACGAGATGGTCGAAACTGATCGCCATATCGGTATTATCATGGAGTATGCTTCTGGAGGCGAGCTATTCGACCACATCTTGAACAACCGATACCTCAAGGATAATGCAGCCCGTCGCCTCTTCGCGCAATTGGTCTCCGGTGTCGGCTATTTGCACAAAAAGGGAATTGTACATCGTGATTTGAAGCTGGAGAACCTGTTGCTCGACCGCAATCGAAACATCATCATCACCGACTTCGGGTTCGCCAACACTTTTGATCCTGCCGATGAGCTTGGCGAGGAGATCGAGTACAACCTGGCCAACAAAGATTTCGTGAAGAGGATGCGCTTGGACAAGCCGAACGCAAAAGGCCTTCGACGAGGTGATTTGATGCAGACTAGCTGCGGCAGTCCTTGCTACGCGGCTCCGGAGCTGGTAGTCAGTGACTCGCTTTATACTGGGCGCAAGGTCGACGTTTGGAGCTGCGGTGTGATCTTGGTGAGTGGTCTAGCCCGCTTTTCGTGCAACTCGCACATCTGCCTCATGCCCGCCATACTGACCTGACCGTTGTATAGTATGCCATGCTGGCCGGCTACCTGCCGTTCGACGACGACCCGGCGAATCCGGACGGTGACAACATCAACTTACTTTACAAATACATAGTTACAACTCCTTTGACGTTCCCTGAATATGTGACCCCCCACGCACGCGATTTGCTGAGGAGGATTTTGGTGCCTGATCCGCGGAAACGAGCCGATCTTTTTGAGGTTGCCCGCCATAGCTGGCTAAGCGAGTACTCACATGTTGTGTCACACATCACCAGCAGCACAACCAAGGTCGCCGACATCGCCACCACTACGGTACCCTCAGGTAAGACACAGTGCTCCAAACCACGGGCGCAGCCAACTGATTTCTCTTCGCAGCCGAGCCCCACAAGGAAGTCCCGTTACTGGCACGGAGTGCATCTGTCAGAGAGCCACCCAAAGCATACCAAAATACAGCCCCGCCTGTGGGAGGATTGATTCATCATGCCGGAGACGTCTCGCAGGAGCAGGCCACCGAAAAGGCGAAGAGTTCTAGAGACACCAAACGGCGAACCGTCCAGGTCGAATACGTTGCCCCCCAGTCTCAAACGGTAAGAGGCGAACAGTTCACTGGTACGGAGCACGCTCACGTGGAGCCTTCTGGAGCCTTCGAACCGTCATCACGGAGAGCGAGATCAGGGAGCCGAGGTGGACCTGTCGATATGCCGGCAGGCACTTCCCATCAAAATATGGCTGGAGAATCCAGCGCACGAATTGGAGACTACAAGGCGACCGCTGGTTCGGCGCCGGCCCCGGTATCTGGGCATTTGCCTCGCTCGACATCAGATACTGCAGCGCTTACGGGGCCGATGCCGACATCGGCCACTCATGCTACGCGCCCCACGACTGGCGGGTCAATGGCCTCGTTCAACGCGGGCCGTTTGCCATCAAGGGGATCGTATGGGCAGCCTGTGGCACCAACTGTGGCAGCGACCAATGCCCAGGGCCGGCTGGCACAGCCAAAAAGCCGGCAATTCAGTATCTCTGCTCCCATGCCACATGATAGTTCACAGCAGTCGATTGGCCAGCCCAGCACGCAGCACCTTCCACCCAAATTCAATACCACACCCCGGCAAGAGCCGCCCAAGGGTCACAAGAGATCGAACACTGTGTCCAGTATTGGCGAGAGGCTCTTTGGCCGGTCTGGATCCATCTTTGGCGGCCGCGGAGGGCAAGCCAGTGGCTCGCGACAGCGCAATGGCAAGCGTTATCCCCCCACTAGCATGAAGGAGCCGTACGGAGGAGACGATACGCGGATGTCGATGGACTCACGACGCTCGATGCAATATGGCTATAATCGCAAGGCGAGCGAAACTGGTGTCGAAAACCGACCCCGGAGGTTCTCGCTTCTTCCGCCATCTTTCTCGTTGAAAGGCTTCTCCTCCAGCCGATCACAAACCCCGGACGAAGAATCGCAAACGGATCGTTCCACCGAGAATCGCCTAGAGCAACCCCCGTCTTCTGGTGCAATTCGATCGCGTGCGCGTGCTACCAGTTACGGAACGCAGGATGCGATCGCCATGGCGACGGACGGTGCACCAGGGGACGAGATCCTCACTCAGGATGAGCCCATTAATTATCAGGCCCGGATTGACCAGCAGTTTGCGATCTTGCATTCTAACCAGTCTGGCCTATACCAGCCCACTTCGTACAGTGCAGCATCAGCGGAGCAGGTTTACCCGAATGAAAATGACCACTATTACCGAAACCAAAGCGCCAACCACTCAACGCCTAACTACTACGATGATTCCACTGGGACCTTCGATAAAGGATCTCAACCGTCAATGCAGGCGGGTCGACCCGGACGGGGTCCGGGCGTCTTGCCCAAGAACCATCGCAAGTTTGCTGACGCGTATGAGTACGAGCGCGATTTGGCCCACCGCCCCGGTAGCTCTGGCGCAGCCAGAAAAGTGATGGACTTCTTCCGTCGCCGAGCCAAGTCCCGGGCCGGGGATGACCGGTAGAATCGGCGTCTACATTAATCTAATTGTCTAAAGATTTAATTCTCAACCTTTTTGATCGACTGACGCATCAGGCGATCTTCTATTAATCGCCAATCAGTCGCCAAGTTGGTCACCGTGGTAGAAGAACCAAGAACGACGGGCAATTCGAGCTTTCGGGCTTGCTTCTTGCGATCCAGGGGTTGAACGTTATGAACTAGTCCAGGAGGCTCCCGAAGAAAACGTTGTGACATCCACGCCCACACCCATGGATCCCATCGAAGCTGGCCGAACCGACGGATCGAGACGTATCCCGGTTAAACGCGTTCTATCTTGGAGAAAAAGTTCGAGTGCGACTAGGCTCTTGGATTCCAGCATTGAACCAGCAGGAGCGGTTATTTGGATACCCCGTGATACCCACGCAGCATTCGTCTCTTCTGTTGCTTGCAGCCATCGGTTTTTCTACATATTGTACCAGCCACCGTTTGTTCCCGCATACATATTGTTTTTTCTTTTCTTCTTTTTTTTTTTCTTTTGGTTGTTTCCTTTGTGCCCCTTATCCCCTTTACTTTCCTTTGTTTAAATTTTTCGTTTCTCTTTCCCTGTTATTATAGTCCTGTTTGTAAATCGATTCTTTTCACCGTTCAGCCCTTTCCGATCTGTTTATTCGATTCTCTGTGGCGGTGTGGCTCTGTTGGTGTGCTACGGCCCGTTCTCCATACCTATTTACATTTCCAGACCCTTATTTGGAAGTAATCTAATATTGCCTATTACCTTCTACCGTTCCTCGGAGATTGACTCTGCGTACTCTGAACCATGTTTGCTCTTCGACTTGGTTATCAGTCTGTCAGTCTGTCGAAACCTGGCTGGTGCACGTTATCGACGTTCTGTTGATTGTCATCGGGATCATTCTACTGTGCGTGTGTGTGTGTGTGTTTTCGACGAGTTCCGCTATGCATGCATGTTGGGTGAGTGGGTGACTGTGTGTCTGGGGTGAATGTACCCACCATCCAGCCAACGCCTTCTTCCCCTTCCAAGAAATGAACATTGACTACTATGACTACTGTTGTTGCTGCTTGTAGATCAATTCAGATTGGCATATCAGCCCTACGTGTTGTGCAGTAAGTTGAGGTAGCTGTAGCTGTACAATGGCCTCGGGATCCCCTTGACTTCCACAAGCTGTCAAGTTTTGTGGATAGCAGTGACTGGTGGGTGTCATGTCGAGTCATGCCATGTTTTAGGATAAGCTACCAGCCTAGCCAATGTATATGCGCATCCAGCTTCGATGGGCTGCTGATGGCTTCCTATTTTTCCCCCGCCCTTCTCCATGGAATAAGAAATGTGGTCAATAAATCAGCTTTCTGGCGTGCCTGTGGCTGCGCCAACGCTTTGCATGGTGGGTGTACGGTGCACCTATGCCGTAGGGCGTAAGCTTGGAAATAAACATCGTACGTATCTTGGGGGGGGGGGGGGGTTGGGCTCTACGCAAACAATATCTATTGTGCTGTCGTGTTGTTTGTCCTTATTGGCCGTTGGCTGTCAGTGTCAGCTCTGGGCTTATCATCGGTGGCTGGCTGGCTGGGTAGTGGATATACTGGGCAATTTGATCCGGTTCGGTGCCTCGTTGGAGGTGATATGATCGGGGTGGAAGTGTAGGCAGGCAAGCTTTGTGAATATAGTGAGTAACTTTGGCGAGAGTAGGCTGGTGAGATATGTACCTCGCTCAGGGTTGAGCATCGGCGATGCTGACAGGCATTTATTCAGCGGTGTGACTCCAAATCAGATAACTTGGTGGTTATCTGCTAAGTACTACTGCTAATACATGGGTGGTCGGCGGTTCATTGGATATTTGTGGACGGAAGTGACTGGGATCTGCAAAATTCTGGGTGGTCTACTGTATGACTTGCCAGTGTTGTTGCTGTTGATGAGGATAATAATGGTGATGGTGATGTGCATGGTTGGTACGTGCGAATAAGTAAGCTTACTTCCTGTTGGGTTGCGACATCTGGATGATGAACTGGTGCTGGGGCTGTGTGTGTTGGTTTGTTGGTTGGTTCGTTAGTTGGAACATGAAATATCATCTGTACACCACAGACCTCGGGCGATTGATAGGTAGGGCGGGTGATAAGTACCTAGTTTTTTTCCTCTTCCCGTCTTGAGAGTGAGGAGTGATGCCGGGAGACATCTAAGTTCACAGTCGTACACACATAGTGGTGTTGTTTAGTGAGATGTGGATAGTGACTAAAAAATATAATGACAAGAGTGGGATTCGAACCCACGCCATCAAACGATGATCAGGAAGCTTTAGTAGAAGCTGAATGCTAAGGTGACCTTAACCTGACGCCTTAGACCAACTCGGCCATCTTGCCTTTAGATGTTAGATGTAACATTTTAATGTAATACACCCCCAAAACCCCTCACAAGCCAAATCATTATAACCAAAGTCAAAGAATCGATCGATCGAAAATAGCTGGACAAATCAGTCACATTGACAGGTGGTGGTATGTCTACTCGGTGCTTTCAAATAGATACTTGACACGTCTTTGTCCTCTTCTCTCTCCTCTAGCCCCTGTGTTTCCATTGAATCTCACCCACAACCACATCATCCCTGGCCGCGGCAGGCTCGGTATGTAAAGGGTTCTGGCAAGCTACTCCGCAAGATCCAACAATCCGCATTTGTCATTAACCTCACTGGGAGCCACACGTGTTTCCTACATACATGTGCACTTGAGAAATGTCTCTCAACTACGGGGCCCAAAGTCCGAATCGGATGGGCGAAGCAACCAGTACTTATTATACTTTGTAGCCCGATCATCTCAAAGCTTTGACCATAGTGGCAAAGCTGCATCAGTACTTCAACAGTCCGGGCAAGATGGCCGAGTTGGTCCAAGGCGTCAGGTTAAGGTCACCTTAGCATTCAGCTTCTACTAAAGCTTCCTGATCATCGTTTGATGGCGTGGGTTCGAATCCCACTCTTGTCATTGCTTTTTGCTCCCGTCAATACCGGGCCGACCGAGCCAGCAGTCCCGGGTCTGATATGGGGTGTGGAATCCGGAGTAACGTTACCGATAGCTCGATCAGCATTGTCCATGACGTTGGGCAATGAGAGAGCTACTGCCATCCTTCCTGATCCCGCGAAGGTAGCGCCTTCCCGATCGCGCCGATCACCTCATCAGTCCTTCGTCAATCCACCTGGAATTTTTCCTCAATCGGATTCCAGGTGAGCCGGCTGCCCAGCCTTTTGTCGGAGGTCTGGCACGCTATTATCGATAAGTTCGAGGCACGATATTGTAGATGCTGACCCTGTTTCTATGTACAGTAACTGAGTATTGTTTTTGGATCGGGTTCTGATCCGTCCTCAGCTCCTTCCGTCCGTCCGACAAGTCTTGCCATGACAGGTATGACCGACGGTGATGCTGATGACAATTCTGATGCTGCTCAATGCCCACGCATATCCGACGCACTCGGACCTTTCTCTCCCGAGACCCTGTGGAGGAGGAAGGGTTGGGTCATGAGCGATGGTTCTTGGGCATTCTCCAATAACTTACCTGTCTGACACGGATAGCCAATGCGACAGAAGGGTGCAGGCGTGGTTGGTGGAGAAACTCTCTTTGCCTGTCTCTTGTCTGCTCATCCGGCTGAATGTTTCTTTTCTTCTTCGTTCATTCTTTTACTGTACCCGCGGTCCGTTCACACCGAAAACCGTCGCCGATTGGGATCTCGGTGCCTCTGCCCTATCGGCAGTTAGGCTCAAGGTTCTACCCAGCTACCATCAGCTACTACGGAGTAGTTAGCTAGCTTTCCCATTTGCATCAGATGCAGGCATGGAAGGTAGCCTTTGCCCCCCCCCCCCCCCCCCCCCCGGCTGCAGCCGTGTCGAACCGAGAAGGCTTGTGCAGCTGATGGTGGGGTTGGAAGCGAAGTGGCTGGAGGATACGGGGGGTCTTGGATGCTGGCCGGGCATTGCAATTGGGTTTTGGATGGGTGGATGGATGGATAGATGCAAGCTGGATGTGAGCTGGATGTGTGGTGGGGCGATGCAGTACGTACTACTCCCCTCCATTTATTTGTCTTTCCTGGTTCACCTGGTCGAGATGAGTGAAGTCGTCCAAAGTCCTTCGTACAGAGGGAATGTCCACGGAGTTGACACATCTGATCTCCGCACTCATCTCATGACCTTACGCTCCAGACTGCCCAGACGGTACGGTTGAGATGGTGACGCCGTGGCCGGGTTTCAAACTAAATCGGAGATTCAGGGCCTGGAGTCTAGAATTTTGGACAACAGTAAGAGCAAGAGCCACCAAGGTCCTATCCATCTGCTGCTTAAGTTACAATCTAACCACGTCAAGAGACACATGCGTCTTATCGATGCACCATCCCCCCGCCCCTTTCATCCGAGCTCTACTCATTGATCGTCCGACTTATCTATTGCCATCTTGCCTTGGCCGTGAAACATCTACTCCAGTTCTATATTTTCTATCGCACTGCCATTGTCCTTGGCATCCATCTTGGATAGACAGTATTTGCTTGGCAGGTATTTGTTTTTTTTTTTTTTTTTTTTTTTTTTTTTTGTTTTTTGTTTCTGGTCCCTCTGAGATCAACCCACCCCCCCTTTTTTTCTTCCCTTACATCCTATTAAACACGGGCGAACAGATTAGATGTAAATATGATGGCATTGGTGTGTATTTGATCTTCCAGAACAAAGTAGTGGCAGGCATAACTCGGTTGACCCGAAATATCGACAACAAAGAAAAGGGGGGGGGGGGGAAAGTAAGTAGTGTAGCATGATAGCGAGGCCGTCCTTTCACCCCACCCTTCTCCCTCCCATCAAGTAAGGAACCTCTGAGTTACATCCTCGTCAGGGGCGGCGATTCGTGTCCAGCGCGACTCGTTTGATATGATGAAGGGGCGAAAGCAAACGTGACCGAGCCCGCACTTTCTCAAGCGAGAGGGGCACTGTCGGAGCCATCGTGGCCGAGATAGAGGAAGCCACTGGGAAGGCGGGCAATGCCCGGACGACGCGACGAGTCGTTGCTGGTCGTGGAGGACTGGCTGCTGGAGCGCTCACGAGGGTGTTGGGCCGTTGTAGCCGTGAGGGGGCCGTTGTGGATAGGGGCCAGAACGAGGAAGCGGGAGGAGGTAGTCTCGGTGTACATGTTGATGATGGTTGATGGATGGTGATGAGATTGGGGGCGTAAGGTGTTTCGATTTGAAGAGGATGGATGGTGGTAGAATTTTGGTGACAATTATGCTAGACTACTTATCCAGAGAGACAGTAGATATTGAGTAGAGAGGAGAGAGCTCTGAAGTTTGGGGGGAAACGCTTTTCCAGACTGGGTTTTGTGAGACCTTTTATAGTATAGAATGGGAAGGCGTGAAGGAGGGGGAGCTCGGAGCAAGCATGTCGATCAAGCAGCAGATTTCCGACTAGCCCACCTGCCTGCATGATTGCAGTCTTTGGGCGCGATAACGACATTCCCACTCCTATCCGAGGGGGAGCCGGGGGAGCCGGGGGAGCCGGAGGCAGGGTGGGTATGTGAGTGATGGTGGTGCTGGTGGTGCTGATTCGTAATGCATCATGTTTGGGGAGAGAGCTTCACATGTGCCGACGATGCCAGTGGAGAGAGGGTGTGGTGTGGAGGAGGTGTGGAGGTGTGGAATAGAATTAACCCATGGAGGGGCAGAAAGAACGTCATCTCCATCTTTTCTCCCCTCCCCCTTCCTTGCCAATCCACTAGGGCCAAAGTTAAGACCCGTAAAATCGAACACGCTGTCTCTGCCGAGAGTTCTGGTTGGACAAACCGCGAGGATCGATGGAGATTATAGGCGTAGACGAAGGGGGAAATGTTTCGCAAAAGGACAGCTCAGGGATCTCAGCCTCGGATGATCAGCAACCAAGACTGTAGATAGTGGACAGCCAAGACACTATCGAGGGTCCCGTGACAACATTCTGGTGACAAGATGAGATTAGTAGATCAGTGGTTCACAAGCCAAGAGGATAAAAAATGACGATACTGAGTGAGTAGGTGAGTAGGCGAGTAGACGAAGGTAGGCGAAGATGTGGTCTTGCCCCTTTGGGATTCCTTCAGACCACATGACTAACCCCTGTGTTGCTTCTGCTTCAGTCTTCTCTTTCTTCTTCTTCTTCTTCTTCTTCAGCTTCCAGTTCGCCTCGCCACCTTCTAGAACCACTCGCTCACTCACACACGCACACATTCCCTCTCCAATCATTTCCCGTCCACTCCACATTCTCCCATCGCCTCGATCGGGCTTGCATTCGAGAAGATAAACGAGCTGTGATCCCGAGCACTATTTTCCATCCCTTGCCGGCAATCGAAGGTTCCGCGGAGTTTCCCAAACCAGTTCGAAGAATGGAGGCCAGGCCATCAGGTTGTCTTAGTTCTCCATTGAGACACTGCGACACTCCGTGGCCAGACCTTTTGGCCAGAGGCACGATGGACAGATAGTAGTTCGACTGACCCCCCCACCCCCTTCAAAAAAAACATTGGAGGAGCAACCCTTGGAGTTGAAATAGGACCAGCACCGCCCAGCTGCAGGGGCGCAGATGTGACGAAACCCAAAGGAATTGGCAGGCGGCTCAAGTAACAACCCCAACAGTCACGTGGTCTGAACCACCTGCGAGAATTGCGGCGATTGGGAGTAAGCTGAAGAGATGCAGCACCATATTTCAGAGAAAGTTCAGTCAGTTTCTCAGTCTGCCTTTCCAGTACGAACGTTGCTGAGATCGGGAGCCAACGGCGGCTAGAGGAGGCCGTGCCCTCCACCCAAGGCCCATCGGCCGTCCCCGTTTTAGCGCCCCCAGGTCCTACGCCGTATCGCCTGAAGTGGCGCGGACCCTCGGCGGTTGAAAGCACAATAAGACATGCAGAGAACTCCCCCCAGAGCTGCTGCTCTGCTCCTTGAGCTTCCAACGTACCTGCGACTGCTGTGCCGGCACACACAAAAGTCAGGTCTCAGCCCCAAGTGTTAATTGTCTGGCCTAGCTGCTGGCTGTGGTGACAACGCAAAATCGATAGGTGGAGGGTGCGTGGCACTGCTCAAATTCCCGGGTGCGCATTGATCGATCGACTGGCTTTGAATCACACCAACATCACGAATCAGACGGAGTTATGAAATGGATACGCTCAACGTAGACTCAAAGCGCTCGTCGGTTCTTGTGCTAACCTACCATCGGCAGGCAGGTGGGAGAACCTTAATGATATTCCTCGGACACAGGAGAGGAAACCAGAAGTGAAAGAAAACGGTGAAATGCCCGGAGTCTCGCTTAGCCATTGATATCACCAACCGCGTCAAGGTCCTGGGTGTCATACATTGGTCGACTGGAAAGCAAGGGCCTTCAGTTCCCTGTGATGACGGAGTGGCTCATGCAGATTCATCGCCTTAGCTTCCGCTACTTGTCCCCAGGATTCTCTGATATGCCTTGTGGATCTGTTAGATATTCGTGGTCTGAACGTGGGTCAGAAAGCGTGCCCAGGAACTGCGCCAACCCCCGACAGGAGCAGGTGGCTCATCGATCAACTATTACCACGCAGCCTTCCGGCCGAGCACCGTCCAAGTGTCCACCAAGACCGGCAGGTGGGGGATTACTGAACCTTGATATCGGTGCGATCATATTGGCTTGCTCTACGATGTCATCCTTGCTTCCCCTCTCCCCCAGTTACCCAGGCCTCCCGAACACATGATAGACAGTGACCTGCGTTGCTGAACGCACTTTGTGGATGACAGGCTCCCCAGCCTGCAGCATGACGTGCGTCAGATGCTCCGTTTCGAGCTCTGCCCGAGTTGCGGCATGACCCCATACATATACAGAACTGTTGGATCGTTGACGCAAGCTGATTTGATCGTTGATCTGGTTGGCCTTCTATCTGCATATGTGACCGACCTTCCCTGCTGCAGGGGTATCGTAATTGTGAAGATGATGTCAACTTCCCTCGATGCAGCTGCGGAAGTTTAATATTCCCTACGACAAGGGTTTCCAATGATTTCCGGCTTCATGCATGACCTTTGTTAGTCACATTCGTTCGTTTCCTTCAATGGGGAAAGGATGCCCCCCAGGCTGACCTCAGGTGGCTGTTAACTCAAGAATAATTTGCATAACCGCCAATTATCGAGGGTATGGTAGTGGTGGTGTAGTCACTGGCAGAATCCGGAGAGTATCAATTGCAGGCCCGCTCTACGAGTGGATTGCGGATGTGATGTAGACCGAATCGCCAACTGTTTACGGCACAGACTCTCATCTGATCCAGAAAGAGCGTCACTCAATGGCAAAGTGAGACCTTGAAAGACACAATACACGAAAAGGGAAATGCGAGCAAGACAGAGAAGAAAAAGCGAGAAGAAGGGAAAAAAAGCAAAGGAACATGCATGCGTAGTTTAGTTTCTCGTTCCTTGCTAACTAACCTTCTTCTTACTTCTTTTCTACCACACTTCTAGCGTCTCGACATGTTTCTTTTTCCTATTTCTTATTTCTTTCATTGTTTTCAATTTTAATTTCCCACTCTCGCATGATCAACTGAGAGTGTCATTGGAATTATTATAATTATTATTCTTATCATTATTATTATTGTTATTATTATTTCAGCTTCGATTTCTTTTGAAAGTTCGCAGCTTGAGTCACAGTTGCTGGGCCATCTTGATCAGTTGGCGTAGAAAGGCTTGTTGCGGCACAGTCGACCGCAGTCATTCTTTATCACTTGGAGATTTTGGAAGTCTGCGTCCATCAGACCGCGAGATTTTTTTTTTATTTAAGGCCCTGCACAACCCGGCCAGAGATTCAATTTCATCGGCAACATCAGCTTTCCTCTCCGCGACCCAAATCAGCACTTCCTCTGAGCTCTTAAGCCTCCTTCTCCACTCAATCTCGAAACCCGTTTGAGCCCTCTGCCACTATCACAAGTCAATCTTGCCTGCTGTTCGTCACTGCATCTTCTCCGCTCACCATCTGCGTCTATTCCCATACCCAGACCACCAACCTCAAGACCCAATCATCCAAGATGTGCTCCCAGTATTACCTCAAGTTCGACTGCGGCTGCACCGTTGCGGAAGGCGATGTGGTCTTCTGCGCAAAGCGAGGCACCTCGTGCACCGGAGTGCGAACGCAGATCCGGCGCCGGGAGGGCTACAACTGCCCTGAGCATGGTGGCCCTTAGACCCGGACCCCAATTGTGAGTACTACCACTACCGAAGATCCACCTGCGCAAGACCCAAGACTACCGGATCCAACCGTGGATACACAGAGCATACTTTGAGACTAACTGCATGGGTGGCGCAGGCAGACGCCGAGGGAAGCTTAGGGAGGGAGCCTGGCCTGAGCTAGGTACCGGTTTTTTTGTCACCATCCTGCAGATTGACAAACGTATTGGGGGCAAGAAGGCAATCAATTGCACACCCTGGAGACCGTCAACAACTCTCCATCTAAGCTCGAGCCACTCATGAAGAAGGCGAGTGAGACAGATTACTCTCCATCGAGTCTTTTCCATCGGCGCAACCCCAACACCGACATAAAAGCAGAGAAAACCCTCAAAAAAAGGTGAAAATCCGACCAGAAAAAGCACACCAAAAAAAAACTCAGCCTCGACTCACGAGGAGATAGAAAGGGCGGTCCAAAAAGGCGGGAATGGGGTGGTATAGCTGACTAGCTTTTTTGTTCTTTTGTTCTCATGCTCTTTTTCGCAGTTTGGGAGGTCATCGTTGTTCGCTCATTATGCATTCATCATCATTCTCATCGTGGCATATATATACACTGTTGACACTTCTTACTTTGCTTTTTCTCCTGCCGTTTGCTTCTATGTTTTCTTGGCTGTAGCGTACCTCTTGTCGATCCATTGGGGAGGGGGGGGGTTAACTCATCCCCTCTCCTTGTTTTTTGATCTTGGATCTCATTTCTGTTTACACAATCTCGGAGGCACTCTTATCTTGATCGCACACTGTTTTATGAGCATGTTTTCTTCTTCTCATTGTTGTTGTTGTCGGCATCCTTGCACTTTCATTTCTGGCCTTAGGAAGAGGAACAACCATTATTTGCTTTGCCGCTCAGTCAGCTCTTCGCTTTACAGCTTTGCATTGCAACACAATTCCCCCCCTCATATTTCTATTCTGGTTTCAGATTTCGTCTTTCATAGCTTCCTCTGTCGTT